TCTCCCGGCTTCCGCAGCTGCTCGGAAGTGTGGGAGGTGAGAAGGCGAGGTCGCATCTTCCAAACTACATGGACAACCGAAGAGGAAAAGGAAGAGCGATTCATAAGAAATACGTGGGTGATTAGTTAGCGAATTAATGTTTGGTGAATCCAAAAACGCTCGTGCGCTACTGAAATTAACTTGTATTTGTGATACAGCGGTGCGGCAGACGTCTGACCCTTTGAAGGTTATTGCGTGTCTCCGTTGAAAAGCCGGCTGCTTTCGGCGCCCATATTGTTTGTCCGTCTGGTCATCGCACCGAAACCTGATCAGCTAGCCGTCCCCTGAAGTGGCGAGGATCGCGACGGGTCGTTGTTCAGTGTCACCGCCCGGAGGTCGGCAGCCTTGTCCTTTTACACGTGCGCGCACACACACTCGTCGATCTCGCGTCTCGTATTTATTGCACCGTATCCTATCATAATCCTATCCTATCCTATCATATGACGTATTCGTTCTCGTTCGATCCCATTGACAGAACGTTGCGGTTAGGATACGCCAAGTAGGCGCACTAATACCCAAATGATCAATAATATGGGTCCAGTGTGGATCTCTAAAGACACGTTCTGCTCGCACTTCCACCGATCTGCTTATCCTAAGTTGTTGCGGGCGAATCGCCCTCAATGCCCTCAGCGGCATCGTCCGGTTCGAGCGGCGTCTGGCTCGGGCGCCCATTCGCTCCCCGCGTCAGTCCGAACTCTTGGTGGAATTCACTCGCCGTGGGGAGGAGGATTCTAGCGACCGGCTGGCCTGATCGGTAGCTTTCCTAGATTTCTCCGATCAATAGCAGGCGAAATCAGTACCAGTACACTCACAAACAGGCGATGGACCGCACGCGATTTTTCCTTCCTGTTACTTGTCCTATTCGCTCAGTAACATGCATTACTGTACCGCACATGTCGGGAGACCAGTCTGGAGCTCCAAGCTGGGGCGGTTCCCCGCTGGTGGGAGATACCTGGTTGGGGAAAATCCCCTTCAGCAGACGGTGGATCTCGCCAGCCAGCGGAGAATGATCGCCGCCACCTCCCCTGATTAAAACATACACAACACTTACTAGACTAAATGCTTCGGCAGTTAACGCGCCCGAAATCACTAATCAATCAATCAATGAACCGAAGACTTGGTGGCCGGATAGGTAATGGAGCGAATCGGGCATGCGTCCGATCTCGATGCAAGATGTAGGAGTTTTTGCTCGCAAGCTAACACGGTTTGTGAGTTTCTAGATCGCGTGGTCCCTACGCACATGTGCCCCATACGCACGCGTGGTCCCTACTGTTAGGTCAGGAATCACGAGTGGGGATGGTTGTCCATCAAGCGCGCCCTTGATTCGAATTTTGCAGTTCCATCGGGTCGTTGGCGTGGACGCGGTCCCTCACGGAGACGATACGCTGGCGGGCACATAATGCAGCGTGCCTTTGTTTGCGGGGTTCGGCAGCGATCCTCGGGTAGTTTGAGGTCATAAACGGCACCCATATGTATGCGATTTCTAAGCATTCTTCTGGGATGTAGGTCTCCAAGTGGAATAAAATATTACTTCACATGCGGCGAAATACGAGTACCCTCAGATGGTCGGTTGCATTAAACTACTTTCCATGAACGCTTACCTTTCAATTGTAGTAATCGAAAAAAAGGATATCAAGTTTAAATTACAGTAAACAGACTGAGTTCGCTTTGCGCAATGCGCTTTTAAGGCGATAAGTTTAAAATAACAGGTTTTTTCTTTGACATGTTGTACCTCTGAAAAAACACATAGTTCATCAGAATTTATAAGATCATTTTCTATATATCCTTCATTTTTCTATTCACATCACCCAACTGTTCGAGTATACTCACTTTTGCCAACGCTAAAAGAACGATTGGCCTCTCCCATTATTTCTAACTTGTGCAACTTTCTAAAATTCGAAGAGTTCAAGGAAGATTAAACCAGCATAATTTTTCATTATTTGCTCTATCTGTGGAAAAATGAAAAACAAATTTGGAGCCGTTTTTGTATTTTTTAAATAAATTGCATTAACTTCAAGCAGAAATTACATAAAAACTGCTCGTTTTACCAACAAAATGTGCATGAGCTGTACAATTGTGTGCGCGCGCGTGTACGCATGTGTGGCCGACCGTTTTTCCCCGCAGGTGTGTCCCGCGAGACCTGGAAACGGTCCGTCGCAATGCGGTCGCCCTTTGCTCGACGGTCGAAGGCCGCCGCTGCGCGCGTTCGTTCTCGTCTTCGCAGTTTGCCCTGCCGTTTACGACGAGGGGCAATCACTCACCCGCCTCCGCGACGGCCGATCCCCAATCAGCCGCGGCCCCGGCGCGACGCTTCGCGACGCGATGCGACGGCTGAGAAAGAGCCCCCCGCGCTCTGGAACGGATCTCTCGGGAGAGGGGAGGACAAAGAGAGAGGCGCGAGGAGGGGTACGAGCCACTGAGAAACCAAATGTAGGTCTTCTGTCATGCTCCATGGCATCAATTGAATGTTGATTCAGAGCGCGTCAAATACGAACTGTAGTTCAGGTTATGTCCCGAGAGGTGGCGGTGTTCTTCTTCCGTTGAAATGAGATCAGAAGTAGACTTGCACGTCTGCTTGCGGATTTTTACCTCCAGACAACTCTCACAGCCGGGACAAGCTCTGAGCTCTGACTTCTCTCCGGCATTTAACGTAGAGTACTGATTGGAAGTGTGTGCTTGTGTGTATGTTTATAAGGGAAGATGAAACGACAAGGATGAGGAAGAAAAGATGGAACACGTTCCGTTTTTTTAAGGTACTGCCCTGTCATTCATCTGGTATAGTTCACAGAAGGATCTGAGCAGCCGGTCGCTAGAATTCTCCTGCAGATAGTGGTTGGATACGACCCTTTCGTATCTACCTTTCAAAAATGTTCAAACGTTGGGATTCGAACTCCAGCATCTTCCGATTCACAATATCGCGGACGTAACGATGTGTCTGCGAGAAGTCTCCATTGCATCGAAAACTCATGAAATAAAATTATTAATTTTAAGGTTATGTTTAACACAAAAATACTTCATTTTATGTATTTTTTATGCCTGCAATTTAAACGCTTTATGAAATGAGATTTGCAATTTGGTATACTTATTCGAATGTATCATTAGATCACTTACTGCTTCAATTCACTCTCTGCAACCTACCACTGGAAGATATCAGTATTGAAACGATTATTGATTGATAAGTTGATAAGTGTACTGTATTTATTAACGGTAAATGATCTCATTTAGCCAGTATTATTTGTCCTTTTTTCATCTTTTCTTATTCAATGACAAACTCAATTTTGAAATTAATAGTAAAGATGTTAACCCACCATACTCTCCTCGCATATTCTCGTGATTGTAAAGCTGTTTACCTCCCCGTGGCCCAAACGGCCAAGTGCTGGGGCGAGGAAAGTGGCTGCGAAAGGGCAATATAACAGCACAAACGCGGTATTTATTTTCAATAATTTCCCCAGAGTCTGGGCGTCAAGGGAAGCGTAGCTTGCCACTTTCGCGATTAAATTCGAACTCTTTCTCCGGCGCGCGGGGAGGCTCAGTCTCAACCGATCACTGTGAAAAAGGGGCTCCTCCCCTATATTTACCACTCGTCATGGGTCTCGCAATAATTTATTGCCTTCTCTGTTTGTGATGGAGAACGCGTAGGCAGTATTGTCAAGCATGTTTTACTAATATGCAAACTCTTCAAATTTAGTACTTTTAAATGTTTCGCCAGGAATGCTATAAAATATTTCACAATTAAGTGAAAACCAACCAACTTATCTCCACCCGTAGTATCAGGGTGCCAAAGAAAAATGAAATGTATGAAAGAGGTGGATGAGATATTTCACATATAACAATTTATTCAAATATACAATTTAGAAGGCAATTTCTTCACAAGAATATACCAAAAGATGCGCTGTTCCAGTTGCCAAAAAGAAATTCTTGATTCGTCGTCAAGTTTAGTGCCGGCAGAAGTAACTATCAACGTCGATTCACAATGTATCCGGTAACAATCACAGTATTTATTCTCGGTCGCGTAACTGTCACAAAACACACTCACTCACTCACTCACTCACTCACGAACTCACTCACTAACTCACTCACGAACTCACTCACTAACTCACTCACGAACTCACTCACTACCTCACTCACTAACTCACTCACTAACTCACTCACTAACTCACTCACTAACTCACTCACTAACTCACTCACTAAGTCACTCACTAACTCACTCACTAACTCAACGCTGCTGCTCTGGCCCAATCGTTTCTGCCTTCTTGAATGCTGACCCGCCCGCTATACAGGCATGGCCATATTGCAGTCTCGTTCCCGCGGCTCGCTTGATGCGGTTAGCGTGCTGTTGCCTTGTGCCCTTTAGAATAAAGCGCGTGCCGACTTATGCGCGCGCGCCACCTTCAAATGTAGCTGTGTATACAGCAAAAAACAACAGCCTACGTTAATCAAAATTTCCTTGTGGGTGTAATACAAAGGAAAGTCTTTGTCCAGTACTGAGAGTTTAGATTGTTAATTTGTCATAATTTGAAAAGAGGAAATTTGCAAATGTAGATAACGACTTGCTAGCTCCGTTCGGTGAACCTGACAATCAAAATCCTTTACGTTACCTCTCACATTCCATTTGCTATAATTAAAGTTGATAGATCCGTTTCTATCTTTTAGCGGTAAATACAGGGTTATCAAACGAATTCTTTTCAGAGCACAAGGGTCCTTTTAGAAGGTATCCTCTTCCGTACTCTTTTTTTCAAACGTTTTCTCTATTGTTCTATTGTACGTGACATATCGCGTATTCTCATACGAGAAATACTTCGACCTTCATTTCAAGATAGACAACTGTTGACTGATGCAGTGTTTGACAGCGGCAACCTAGAACAACGTATTAAAATTATTTGCGTAGTAGAATCGATACCTTGCCTCAACTTGCACGCATCACCTCGATTTCTAAGAGCGGATCGCCCCATTTAAACTAGAAGCAGCTTCGTGAACAGGACGTTCCCGCGAGCAGTGAAGACGTACGAACGGAAACCTGTTACAATCTATCTGTAAATCTCTTCAAAAACTTAACAAGAGGTAACTATTTTTTGTTATACTTTTCGTGGTGATTCATAAAATTCTAAGAAGAAATTTTCAAGTTTTCTCATGTGTAAGATGTTAACACGTATACGTTCACACAACGTTTTCTCTTCCACAGCCTTTTTATTACTTTGTTCAATTTACTTGATTAATTAATTATATATCGGTATACCATGCTCCCAACCACCGGATCACATGGAGACGCCAATGGTATTAAATTAAATCCAATTGGAGCTGATTGTGACTGGAGTACCGAGCCAAAACGTGTTCGTAAAAGCGTTTAAACCGTTTAGTCGATTTTCTCCATATCTGAAATTCCCTGACCAATTTAAATGAATATGAGGTCTTACGAGTTTGATACGGATATTTTGATTTCGCCCGGTACTTTGGGACTGCTTTACACCACGCCACAAAAGCATTTTCGAAATTTGCTCAAAAATGGCTCCAAATTGTATGATTAAACTTTTTCCTCTGATAGCGTAAAGGAAGATTATAAGAATGGTTGAAATCCCTGATTTTACAAAAATTGTAAAAAGATCAAAATTGATTTCAACGTGTTTCTGAAAATTATACTCGTGTATTTTGTTTAAAAAGCAAAAGAATATGGCAAAATTAATTCTATGATTTCTTTAACAGTATAATTAGAGCTATCCGACGGAAAAGTTTGAAGAAAAAATATGAAGCCGTTTTCGAGAAACTGGCATTTGAGCGTTTCCGAAAATGCAAAACTTTGATTAGTTTTCACAGAAAACGTTTGAGTTCCCCGAAGCGATATACGACATTATTTAAAATACATGTACTCATAAATATAATAATACGAACTAATTGCCGCTAATTTAAATATTACGACGCGAGAAACAAGTCAAAAAAATTACATTATGTAATTTTTGAAAAAACAAGAGAATAGAGCAATATGGCGTGTATTCCATCTAATAGTGTATGTAGCACTATCCCTAACGCAAGTTCAAACAAACAATTTGGAGCCATTTTTGAGAAAATGGCAATTGAGCTTTTCTGAAAATGCGGAATTAAAATAGCAAGAGCAATTAAAAGAGCAATAGTGCGTTTATATCATATTATAGAGTGATTTAGCACTATCCCTATCGCAAGTTTAAAGAAAAAATTTGGAGCGTCCTTTTTTTTAGAAAATTATGTTTTTGTAATTTTTTAAATTGCACATATTGCACGCCATATTATGCGAAAACTATGAAAAGTTTAAAATAACGTACAGGACCTTAACGAAAGAACTAATTATGGACAGTTAATTTTATTTGAAGGAAAAATTTCAATTTGTAGTAGCTGGAAGTTGCCGAAAAAATTCAAACTTTGGTAATTATCGAATATTTAGAGTAAACACAAAGAATCGGACACATGTCACCTTTGTATGTGTATTTTACTATATTCTTATAAGAAATTTAAAGAAAACATTTGGAGCTGTTTCTGAGAAAATTTTGCAAATGTCCGTGGGGCTTCATGTAAATTACCCCCAAAATATAAATAATGTTTTTCAATATGCTCTCGTGGTTTAATGATAAAGTCGCTTGCCTTTCACACACCGAGGATCCGGGTTCGATTCTGAATCGCTCAACGCCCCCTGAGGGGTTTGGAGACGCGTTGCATCTAAGTTGACGCAACAAAAAAACATCGCCAAGCTTTGAGTGGAGCCCCATTGACCTGGGAATATCCATTTTGGAAAACAATCCTAGGTATGTTTTAGGCGATAGTGGTGTTCTCAGAAGGACGGACGGACGTTTTCCTGTAAATTGACATTTCGGTATTGAGGATCCACAAATGAGGAATTCTGGCTACGCCACGTGTTAGAAGATTTTTTTCTTAATTTAGTAACTGGCTCCACGTTTTCGTTATCAGGGCCTGGGTATGAATTTTTGTCTACAAAAAATCCGACGTTTTTCGCACAGTATTACGTGACTTTCTCTATACTACGTATATTACTCAGTATATAATTACGTATACGATAAATTAATAATTAACAATTATGAGAGTCATTTCTTTACATAATCATAAGTAGTCCGTGTGCATCAGCTTATTGTAATCAGAATACAATTTGAAGGGAAAATACACATTAAAATATGTTTATACCTTGTCGAAAAAAATTTAATAAAGTACAATTTCGAATTGTCCTGTTCTTGGATCGACAGCTCGGAAAGGGCTTCGGCTGACCTGCGGTGACCTAGCTTCTCGGCCATGGGAGAAGGGGATCGTGAAATTAGAACGAAGACATTCCTTCGCCGTATAAACTGGTCTTCTTAACCTCTGGGTGGGCTTTCTCATCGTCACACAGCAATATATACTGAGACATTTGTAAGGAAATTGCACAATCCGGAGCAGGAAACAGACCCCGGGGTTGCGTCGGGGACAGCGAGCCCGCTAGCCAACGAGCCACCCGAGAGGGGGCACTTTTGAACAACCTTACACAAATATTCGTACTTGTTCAGGAAATCTTCGCGTCGCGTAAGCTCCCTTCTAAGAAACTTTACAAAATGCGTTTTCTATCGCAGAAGGACTGACGTACACACTAACGTGCACTGGCATAATCTCATTTTTCAGATTTTGTTTCACAAAACAATTTCTTCCGTTTATATATCCTATTCTATATTCACTAAGACATATTTATTTTTGTTCTTACACTGTTCAATATGAAACTAGACGTTTTAGAAAGTATTTCCCGATGAGCCTTGCAAAACTTTCGTTTCGAAGGCCGAAATAAAATAGTATTCTCATATTTATTTCGTGTACGGGTCTCTAAACTCTTGGATGGAATCTTGGCTGATCTGGCTCAACTGGGATTCGTGAATGGAGTTCCGGGTGCGATTCGTAGCGTTTAGGCCCGGCTTTATTTCCTTTTCTATTCAGCTTCTTTGTAATGGAGTATCCTTCGCTTGCGATCTTGCATGATTCTTCACGCAAAACTTGGGTATCAAGGGAAAGAATCTGTTTAGGACGACATCGGTGGGATCGTTTCGGGAGTAACTCTATGCGTTTCTTGACGCCTAATCTGAAGAGACGCATTGATCTTACATTCACTTTTATATTGAAATAACATGATTTAGTTAAAAACATCGTAAAAGGTTGTTTATCAATTCTAACACGTGTTAATTACTTACAATATGAACTCATAAAATTAAATGATAATATAAAGTTTCAAATTTTAAGGATATTGGATAAGGATAATCAATTTAATTTCACCAATTAATTGGAACAAAAATATCATTAAATTAATATATTTTAGCTTCTAAATAATCGGTTAGTAATAGTTTGCGATTAATTTTGCCATACTAGCCTCGGGTACTCGAGGTGGCCAGTAGGCCCTTCTCAGCTATCTAAATAATCATATTTGAGAGAGCGTCTTTAATTTGATAAGAGAATAAAGTTGTTAGGTGTGATGTGGCGTTAGGGAGAGCTCCATCATGCAACAACACATTATAAAACATCCATAACTGAAGCGGAAATTGAACCGAGACCCTTCAAGCTGAGAATCTTATGTCACTATCACCTCAGCCGTTACGGTCATCAGGCAGAGCATTACTAGAGGTACGAATTGACTGTAGTGGAAAATTCACAACTACAACTTGACGCACTCGGAGAACCTGAGTTCGAGTCCCAAAGTTGGAAAACTTTCGACACTAAATAGCTGTATCCTAAGAAGCTACTGCCTGGGTTAACATTGTCAACCGGGTGCTCTGATCGGTAGCTTCCGTCGTTTTCTCCACCCAATCAAGCGAATGCTCGAATAGTAAGTTATTTCTCATCAACCTCTGAAATCTTCTCTTGAGTGAGGCTTCGAGTTAACTCTGTTAGACTTGATAAAATCTCATCTGGCTCCAGGACATTTTCATTACCCGCTGCGTATGTAATACCAATACCATAAAAATTTGCTCACTTGCTTCACTCTCTTCTTATATTTCGCTTCTTCAGGGGTTAATTTTTTGATTCAAATTTCCTTCCTACATGTTTATACCTCTATTATACGACAATTTATTGCTTTTACTCGTAATGTAACACTACATGTTCGTTGACGGTGAACCTCGTACTATCGAAACTGAAAAATAACAATCAATATCACTTCCCAAAAACAGCTACATTCAGAGCTCAATCCGTATGGTTTGAAGAACAAGGGTTCACCTCAATATCCTTCTGACCTAATCTAACCTAACTTCCTCGCACACCATCTCACTGCTACAGAGATACTATCTGCGAAATCGACTTTCCCTCAGAGAGCACTAGAGGGCACAAAGAACAAGGTTAACGATGTTGTGAACTGCTTTCCTTCCGAGCTTTAAAGCGCTGGATAGCCACAGGAGAACCGACAAACTAGCGGATTTGTTTGAAATAATATACAGTTTTAACTACTTTATATTATTAAAAAACTTAATATAAATACATAACATTAATAAAAGTGATAGTATTTCATCATCTGTAAAATAGTTGGAGAAATTATTTTTCATGATTGCCTCGAATTGCTTTTACGATTTAGTCGTATTTGATTGTTTCAGAGTTGTTTTATTAGTAATCATGATAGGATTTTTAAAAAAATTGGGCCAATGATTGATTTTCCTACTTAAAAGGAAAATAAAATAGGAAGGAAAATAAAAAAAATATTTCACCGAAATAAATATTCTGCGATTTTCAATTCAATTAATTTGTCGCTTGTGGAGATTTTTTGCTTGTGTCTATGTTCAATGATATAACGGTAAGTAGGCGAGTTTATAAATGTACACTTATAACAGAATTTCAGTGAATGATTTAGTTGCGAAACTTTGAATGCAAGTATAGCTCAATTAAAAATCAAATGATCTGCACAAATGCAGTTTGAGTTGCGCATGCACAGAAACTTAGAACTGGTATACGTTATACTTATTAATGTCATTAGGCCGTTAAACACCAAATAACAGACGCGGTTGGAGTTTGTGAACCGAGGCGACAGCCGAGATTTATATCCAACCAAGTCTGTTATTTGTGATATCGGACGTGTGTTTTTTAATACTTTTTGTAATATCATCTTCTTATAAGAAAAAATAATATAAATAAGAATCGCATTTTATTTTGATGCGTGGAATTGCAACGCCATCTATTTCAAATCGATACGATTTTTTATGCAGATGCGACAACTTCAAGAAGGCCAAGATTTTATCGTAAGAATATATTAGAAAACAAATTACTACCTAAAAAATATTGTAATTTTTTGTATATTTAGGGCATGTCGACGAGAGAAAAGTGTGCCAATGACAATTGATGATTTAGAAACCACGAGTAACGGAGTTACAGTGAATTGCACAAAAAATAAAAATATAATGTTTCTAATACCCAATGACGATCTTCCATTCTACGCATATTATTTACATAAAAAGTATGCTAACCTACGTACATCTAATTTAGAAATGAAACTCTTTCGTTTTTTTTAGATTACACCTTTTCATTCCTCCATGAAATTGCGTTATGCAGATATGTTAAGGAATCGTATTTCGAAAAAGTGTTTAACCTTATTTAAAGTCTCTACGTATAATGCGAGTTTTGAAATATATTATATTTTACAAAATATTGAATATTTAACAAACCTATTTTGACAAATATATAAGGAAATAAATTTCTATTTATTATCGTCTGACAGTTGCTATCTTTGCTGATAGACTTGGCTAACGTTTAGGTACTTAATCCTTTTTAAAATGTCAGTTTTCAAATATATAGATAGTTTTACAAAAGTATCGTATATTTAAAAACCTGCCTTGAAAAAACGTCGAAACAAATAATATATTTTTATTATCATCTGATCGTTGCCATCTTTGCTGACCGACTTATGCAAACGCTAAGGTGTTCAGCCCTTTTCGAAAAGATTAGTAACATTGTCAGTTTTCAAAAATATCGATATTTTTACAAATGTAGACACTATATAAAAAACCTACCTCGGAAACGATCGCCACAAATACTCTCTTTGTACGGTGGGTGTCGCCTTCGCCTTCCGCAGCCCGGAGTGAACTGCGCGCGCTCTGTTTCAGCGGGGACCAACCTGGTGGGGAAGTTCACGCAGAGCGTGCGGCGCATCGTGCAGGACGTCAAGGACGAGCCCACGTCCAGTGAGTATGCGCCCGGCTCGCTCGCCTCGGTCATCGCCTCCCTCTCTTTCCGGCTGCGTATCGTTAAGTTGTGCATCTCGCCCGTCCGACGACTCGGCGTCGGCGCGGGGTCTCCACGGAGCAAAAGGCTTGCACTCCCCTTCGCGGTCGCCTGCGGTGCACCGAAAGCCAGAGGCTGATTAGACGTGTAATTTTGCAGGAGCAAGGGGGAAGGAAACGAATTAATTTTGAATTCATCTTCCGTTGGGGTGTCGTCCGACTGAGGCACTCGTTTCGCCGTCATTTTCCCAATCAAGGCGTTGGAAACGAAACCTGCCAATGACGCTGCATCACCCTGGCAGCAAAGATAAAGACACCTTCTGACAAAGAAATAATTTTGAAATTTGCTTTTCAAAGTAATGGTATATATTAATTTCATTTTAATGTCTTTGATTCTAGTTTGCAAAGGCAGTATCAAAATACCACATTATTAAAAATAACTTTTAAGCGCAATAATTATTTTACAAACTGATTTTCAAACTTTTATTTAATATGTAATTTTCAAATAGTTTGCATAATTTATTTGATTTTGGTCTCAGAAAGCGTCACTCGTTATGACAACTTGAATAATTCACATTGTACTCATCATTACCCATTCAACAAAGAAATTCTAAAGAAAGTGTAATTATTTTGAACAATACATTTCTAATAATCAATCATTAGGAGTAATTGTACTAAGTTACTGAAGATTTTTCTCGTTTCTGCCGCCTTGTGAAGATCGAATCTTTTCGACACATTTTCTAATTTAGAATAATTGCCTGTTTAATTACGTTAAAATGTATTAAAATAATCATTCATTGGAATATTTAAGAATAATCAACCACAAGACTTGAGAATTTGCAAAATAAAAAACATTCAAAGTAAATGTTAATAATTTCACATTATTTAAACTTCAGATCACGGGAAACGTTTCCTATTTGCGATAATAACAGATGTCGATCTGCCTCAAATCACAATTATGAGACAAAATTATTTTAATCCGGACATATTTTTCATTGTACAGACTCAAATGAAGTGTACCAATGACGACTTACATTCCTTCGATAGCTGGCGTACTCGCCTGTCGAATAAAAAACTGCAAAGAAATGCAAACAATTAATCATTCCTAAGCTTGTTGTTTCAAATATTAGAGACTATAACAAGGGTTCTAAAATTCACGTTTTCAAAAAACGCAAACAATTTAAATTAAGCTTTCTTAAATCAACTTTTCGCATTTGAGTTACTAATTGAATTCTCCGTGATAATTGTTGAAGCATTCTGTTTCTGGTCAATGAACTGCTCATTATACATCTCAAAATGTGTATTTCTTTTAAAAATCAAGCTAGATTTCAGCTTTACAGAGCTAAAGTAGCTTTAGGGATACGTAAAATACCTTGCAAGCTCCTGATAATTTTGTTCTGTGGATACTTCGCGTCGATGAATCGCTTACGTCAGATAAGCGTGATGGATAACTAAGGTGAAACATCCTGTACCTCCTTAGACAGCAGAGCTTTCGCAGCAGGGATTCTTGCGTAATTGAGAGGCGAATTCTCAATTTATTCACTCATTTTAAATTTGCCTTGATCAACTTGTAGCCTCAAGTTGCATCGAGAGTTAGGTATTTGTTTTTCGAATTTGAGGTCGATACACTTTTATTAAAACTTCATGAAATGAGATTCTACAAAGTCTGGGATGAAGGCAAGTGCCTTGGGCTAGCAAAGTATATTTTCATATCTGATTACAAGTCTTTAAATTAAAGCTCATGTTTGAAGGTTGAAGAATGTTTTACAAGTATGACACCAAACACAATTAGTAATACCAAAATTAGGGGGGAAATATATTCATTATCAAATAATTTTATCTCATCTAATAGAAACTATAAAAACGGTATAAATTCAATAATGTTGTTCGACATCAGTAAAGTTTCGAGAGTGCTCTTTGAGTTATCACTTTCCGAGAAACTTAGTATATTCAACAGTAGTAATGTTTTAATGTATTTATGTACAAAACTTAGTCATGCGTATTGCAAATTTTAAAAAATACACAGCTTTACGATTGTAAATGTTGCGCGAAAACACGCTGATATTGATGTCTATCTAGCGGACCTCTAAAAACGTGCTGTGAAACGTCTGCTTACAGAATAAACCATCTCGGAATACAACTGTCTGATAATAAATGTTACAAACTTCAAATATATGTAGGGAAGTTGAAAATGATCACAATGCTAATTCCAAATTAACGTTTCCTTTAACGAGCCATGTGACACTTGACCCTGATTGGTAGGCAATTCGTTTATTGATGTATGGCAGGAACAAAAAAATCTCTTTTGACTGCGATAGAACATGAAACCTCCAAACTTCGGTGCATTATGAGTTGCCCAAATATCACGGGCAACTCCGCCGCAAAGACGACAAAACCTCGTATTTCAAGAAACACATATTTTCAGGAAACAAGAAAAACGTCATGTTATGCAACTTAACGTAATGTTCTGATTATACACCTCTAAGGCAATCGAAGCCAAATTTTCAAATACTCGTAAGTATTGGTTTTTGCATCTTAAGCAGTGCGTTTTATTTAACAACTGAAAACATCTAACTTAAAATCGTCTTTTTTATTTGCAACTTGATTATATGAACTTTCTCAGCAAATTTTCTTTAGAAAAAGTTATCATCTTCGACTGACTAGATCCCTAGAAGTTTGTAGCATTTATTCTCAGACATCTATATGTCCATGGTAAACCGCAATTACAATCGATGCGATATCCGCACAATCGGTCCATCGGCGTTCCAAATGACTCTCTCGTTTGAACACGGTGCGGTGTCTTAGCGACTGTTAGGGCAGTTAGGCCGCGTGGCGTTGGCGGGGGCGGGGGCGCGGGGCGCGGGGCGCGGAGGTGCAGGGTGCTGCGTGCGCAGGCGGCCAGACGAAGGAGGAGGTGATCGAGACGAACGAGCGCCTGCGCGCCGTGCGCCAGCGCCTCGACGAGTCCTACGACACGGCCAAGAAGGCGCTCGTCAACCTCATGAGCAAGTACGCCGACAGCAAGAGCACGCGCAACGTCTTCCAGCGCTACAACCTGCTTAAGGCCATGATCAAGGTACGTACACTGTGACAGCGCTCGCCTCTTTCAAAGTTCCCAGAGGAAGGGTTGGTACCATGTGTAATTTTTTGCCATGTATAATTGTTTTACATGTGTAATTGTTTGATATGTGTAATTGTTCGTCATGTGTTATTGTTCGCTATGAGTAATTGTTCGCCATGAGTAATTGTTTGACATGTGTAATTGTTCGCCATGTGTAATTGTTCGCCATGTGTAATTGTTCGCCATAAGTAATTGTTCGCCATGAGTAATTCACCATGTGCAATTGTTTCCCATACGTAATTGTTCGCCGTGACATGTGTATTAATAATCCGACAAGAGTAATTCATTATTTTCCATAAGTTATCCATTGTTTTCCATGAGTAATTCATTGTTTTCCGTGAGTAATTCATTGTTCTCCGAGAGTTATTCATTTTCGCCATGAGTAATTAAGTGTTCTCGCGAGGCGACGTGGATCGGCACGTGCAGTATCACATAGCCGGCGGATAAGCAAACCCCTCAATTACCCGCCTACCGTAAGGAATTTAAACGACCGCCCGCAGCGTATTGGGGAAAGTATGAAAACCCAACGACGAGCGTTATGTAATCAATTATTATGCAAATATATCCCTGATATAAGAAGCTCACTATCCACCGAAATGCCTTCGTTGAAACGGAGAGCAACGTATACTCCTCAGGCTATTTCAGGTGAATCTCAACAAGGAATAGGCGCCTTGAGCACCCGTTTGTACTCGTATAGCTTGCGGTGACTGGCCAGATCCACCCCAAAGCTTCGCATCCGTAATGCCCTATTGTACATAATTAAATACTCGTAATAAACATACGTAATGTACATAATGAAAGGGAGCTATGGAATAATTTACGTTGTTGGTTTTCTCTTCCTGGGCCTCTTTTTAGCTTCTGATTTCGGCTACCCGCGCCGGGCACCCACTATATCCTTCAAGGGGACACATATTAACCTTTGCACTAGACACATATGCGGGCTCTTCGGTCTCTGGTCAGCAGACTCACAAGGCCTTCCGCAACAACACACATAAATGAAATACAAGTGACAAACAACAATGCTAACGGCGGTACTCGAACTCGTGACCCTTCCGACCGAGGCGCTCAGTTTGCACACGATCTAGCCACCTTGGCTATCTATGTCAGTCTATGGAATAATTTGTTATATATAAATCTACAGAGAGAGGGAGAAGATTCTTGAAAACTATTATACATCTTCATAGCTTCATATTTACTCCTTAATCCCCACCATTTGAAAACATATCATCTCCATTATTCAAAATATAAATTCTCTCTTTCTTTATTTTTCTTTGGGTTTTCCCTTCATTTCTTGAGAAATTCCATTTGGATGGACAATTTGATTGTTGATCCAAGAGTTCACCCAAATGTCACTCCAACATACATTCAAGCACACTCACCCAAACACAAGAAGTTACTCAAGCCCAATTTAACTCTTTTGAATCGAGACAAGCACCTTTTTAACGAGATCCCACATTTATCTCATTCGACTAAATCGCTTTCAACGTTTCTTCAACAATTGTTTTAGTTTCTATTGCTTCCTCTTTGCAATAGCGCAGAATGTAACGTGTGTTGTCCCACAGGAGGTGATCCGCTTGGAGACGCAATACTGGACGTTGGTGGACATCCCGAAGCAGGAGAAGCAAGAGACGGTGCCGGCGTTTGTGCTGCGCGCTTGCTCCATCATGGAGAAGTCGCAGAAGTCGGGCGACGGCGTCAAGACGTCGGCCAAGCTGGCGGAGGAGGAGGAGCGCCGGCGGGAGCGCATCGACCGCCTGGAGAGTGAGTGCAGGGGCACGACGCCCAGAGCGACGGAGGGCGGGGCGGATGGCCAGTGCAGAGGGAAAGCTCATAGGCGGGAGGCAAGGGGATGGGCAATGCTAATGACAGACACATAAACAGGGGGCAAGGAGGATGCACAATTCTGAAGACAACACGATGACGGAGAGCAAGGCGGATGGACAATGCTGAGGGCAATGACATTGACAGAGGGCAAGGTAGATGAACACTGCTGAGGACTAACACGATGACGGAGAGGAAATCGGATGGACAATGCTAAGGGCAAACACATTGGTGGATGGCAAAGCTGATGGGCAATGCAGAAAGCAAACACATTGACGGACATAAAGGCGGATAAGCAATGCTGAGGGCAAAAACATAAACGGGGGCAAGGGTGGATGGGCCACGTTGAGGGCAATCTCATAGGCAGACGGCAAAGCAGGTGGACTATGATGAGAACCAACACAATGACGGAAAGAAAGGCGGATGGACAATGCTAAGGGCAAACAAATTGCCGGAGGACAAGGCGAATGGGCAATTTTGAGAGCAAACACTTTGACGGAGGACAAGATGGATAGGCATGCTGAGGGCAAACACAGTCAAGGAAGTAAGGTTATTAGGCAAGGGCTGACGGTTTAAATTACATTTGTCTATTTTTTAAATAAGCAATAGATAACCTCAAAATGAAATTATAGTCAAAATCAATAGTACAATTAGCATTGGAGAAGCTTGAAGAAAAAGTGCCATTGAATGCCAGAAAACGCCCGAAAATGGAGTTTGAGAGATTCTGAAAATGCGTAATTTTCAGCGCATTTTCCCAAACAACTGTTCAATTTTCGAGAAACTTTATATGACATTATTTAAAGCACGTGTACTTATAAATTCAATAAAGTAGACAAATCGCTGCTAATGTGAATATTACAATTTGAGAGACAAGTCACAAAAATATTTTTTTGTATTTTTAAAAAAAAGGAATAGAACAGTAAGGCATTTAACTCATCTTATAGAATACATATTTCACTATTATTACCAGAATTTTAAAGAACAAACTTGTAGCCGTTTTTTAGAAAATCATGCGTTTCTTATTTTTACTTGCTCACTACCGCTACCGCGGTAGAAAGAAACTTATTTATGCTGCGCAAAAGAACGGCGAATTTTAGACAGGAATCTCTTATTATAGAGCATTGGTAACAAAAAAGTGGATAAATCCAGTTGCTAAATTTATAAAAACCTCTAGCACGTGGTGCAGCCACAATCCACGTTTTGTGAGTCCTTGATATCGAAAAATCGATTGATTGCAAAACGTCTGTCTGTACGTTCGTCCGTCTGTAAACTACGTTAGCGGCTATGTCATTTTCCGATTATCTCCAAAATTGATATTCCCCTGTCAATCTGTCTTATATCATGGGTTCTCGATACTGATTAATGGCGGCGGTGGTGAAACGGTTGGCGTACCGAACTGTTGTATCCAAGTTCGCGGGTTCAAACCCGATCGAAGCCGTGGGTAAGGGCGAAAAAATCGTACGCCTTCCTTCGGAGGGGAAGTAAAGCCGGCTGTCCCATGTTCGTAGATTTACTTGCATGTAAAAGATCCTCAAGCCTAAATGTCGCCTCTGAGCTAAATTCATATCGCCTGTTTCTCGCCCAAGAAATACCTCCTTTTTTCTGCTAGTTGATGAAAGGAGCGTAGCGAAATTTGCGTGGTCAGGCGGAAGAGCGGGCCTAATGGCCCGAGTCTCGCCACGTAAAATAAGGCAAATTCAATTCAATTCAATTAATAGGTTTACAGTAAATCGTCTGTCTGCCGTCTGTCTGTCAACCCGTCAGTCTGTTGGCCCGTCTATCTGTCGGTCCGGCTGCCTGTCGCCCTGTCTGTCGGTCAGTGTGTCTGTCGATCGGTGTATCTGTCGGCCCGTGTGTGTATCGGTCCGTGTTTGGTCGGTCCGTGTTTGTGTCGGTGTGTGTATGGTTGTCCGTCTGCCTGTCTGTCTGTCAGTCTGCCTGCCTGTCGGTCAGTCTGCCTGTCTGTCGGGCCGTGTTTGTCTTTTCGTTCGTCCAACTGTCTCTATCTGTATGGTATTCCGTCTGTCTGTCTTCCCTTGGCCTGCCTGACTTCTTAAATGTAATTCCTGGAAAACGTTCAAACCTTTTTTTCGAAAATTCAAAACAAAAATAAATGAATGTAAAACAGGTATAAAGATCGTATAAACCCGTTTTCAGTCTTAACTCTAGGCTTTCAAAATTGCAGATATTTGTAATTTTGTGGGCCACCTAATGCAACTACATTGTAGACATTGTAGACAACTACTTTAGTATAAAGAGAAATTATAGTAACGCTGCAGCCGAATGTGACAATTTGTCATCACAAAAATGTCAACATTTTTCATCAGTATTCACTATTTGTGGGTGGATCCTAGAATCCGGATAATTGCTCTGCGAACAAATGTCTGTTTGTACAGTATGTTCGGATTCTTTCCGTACAATAGACAACTTTAGTTTCTAAACCCTTGAGGTGATTATCTTTAAGACTAATATTTCCGATCAATATGGACAAATTCCAGGTCGCATGAATTTGTTGCATTTTTTATTTTGGATGTAGTGTACATAAAACCTCAATATTTTTTAACTATTCTAAAACATGGCTTCAATTTTTCCTCGGATGGAGGCAAGAATGAAGGCTTCAATTTTTCCTTGGTTAGAAACAGCACGAATCCTATTTTTATTAAATTCTCTGAATTTTCGAAAATTGAAGATAGAGATTTCTTCCCTTAATTGACGGAGGGGTGGACGGACGAACGGACAAACGGACGGACTTTCGGACGGACGGACTTACAAACAGACGAAAAACGGACGGGCAGGTGGAAGGACAAATGGGCGGAAGGACGGACGGGTGGAAGGAAGGACGGACGGGCGGACGAAAGGACGGGCGGATGAAAGGACTAACGGACGAAGAGATCGGACGGCTGAACGAAGTGACGAAGGAAAGGACGAAGGCACGGACGAAATTCCAATTCCAATTGCTTTACTTAACAATTCTTTGCCCCTTGTCACTTATTTCTGTTTACTCTGTCTGACAAGAAAACAGCAATAATCTCCATCATTGCAGAATCCTTTCGCCCTTGACATCCCTATTTTCGTAATGAAACTGTTCACCATGTTCATCGCTAATTGTATCACCCAAATTCTGCGGCGAAATTAAAACTGAAGGGACTGAAGAAGATGAATTTTCAGACACATTCTACACCTCATAGTTTGTAGCTTTCTAACCATTGTGACCAATTTGTTTATAATTGTCGTCTTTTTTTGTCCCGAATAATGCATGGACAACTCTCACAAAACGTTGCCAGACTGTTAACCAAATGTCTTACAATTTTTCTTCTAGTATTTCATCCAACATGAGTTTTATGATTACCGGCCGAGAAAAATTCCTACGAGTACTTTGGATTTTGTATTGCTCATCCGTGGAATTATTTCACTGCATCGAAACTATATTTCGAAGAATCTATTAACAATTGCCATTCATTTGGGTTATAGAGTCTACACAATTCCCTCAATAACCCCCTCAGAAACAAAACGTACCTTTAAGAGCAGTATATTGGGCAAAGCTCTCGAGTCAGTTTTGCCGGCAAAAGTAGTTTCCATTATTGTAATCCGGAGCCTAGTAGTCCAGATTGGTTTTTTGACAAGCTCAGGAGCCGTGCCGAATCATTTTCGTCTTCCTGCTCTATTGCACGCCAATGTCAGACTATCCTCGTAAATATTCTGGATCATTGGAAGTGGTGGTTTCTGTTTCTAGGGGAAACATGGTTTCAATTTCATAAGTTATCTTACCCTAAGGTTCGTTGCACAGTGACTCAAACCTTTTTTCAAAACATCCACTAAGACTTACTGAGCGCGACTACCAGACGAGAGAATAAAGACAACCATTTTCGACTACAGAACGCAAAATAATCCACGAAAGCCTAATTTTGTTGATATGTCATGAAAGGGGCATAGATGAACTGAACAAATATTGATTTTTAAATAGATTTTATGCGCATTAATTCTACAAATTTTTCAGGTACATATTATATGCATTTGCGTTAATAGAAAAATACATTATGATACGGTATAAAATATGGTGTATTTAGAAACTGTGACGTGATATGACGTTTTAATTTAGATATTCGTTACCTACGTATAAAATTGAGTACGTTGCGCACGCAACCTTCCTGAAGGTAAAATACTTTTTCCTTGTGTATTCTATCCGAGAAAAAAAATGTATGAAAAAATCGGGAGCCGTTTGGAGAAAAATTATTGTTTTTTTACGTAAAATTCCTCGAAAAGTTTTATATTTTCAAAGCATTTTTCACTGCTTTATCAGTCATTTAATAACATATTTTATTAAGGAAAACCATCTCCATCTTCACTTATGTAGTTGTAAAAAGATGCCGAAGAAAAATCAACTTTTGCAAGTTTCAAAATTTAGCGATTTTAACGAAAATTAGACCTTTGCTTTTTTTTAAGCTTTCTTTGTGTGACAGGGGCTCGCGATCAGGGGCTCGAGAGATCTGGAGTAACAGGTCGCACCTCTTTATGCCATTTATCGACATTAATTCTCTATCTGGGAGATGCTGTCAAGCATGTATCAACCAGTTATGTGACCTGGGATACGAAAGTGTAACATGTAACAAACGTGTTGAGACTAAAATCGAGTGTATCTCTGAATAAATTACTCTTATGAGTAAAGTAAACAAAACATTGCGCACGTTCACTGAAGCAAAGTTCAAATCATATTATTTTAGGGCAAATTAAAAACTAGGTAAATTGCATATGATATATTATATACTCAGGTTTAATGTATGAATAAATTGCATATGTCCTATTGTAGTTCAACCCCCTGAAATTTTAAAAATTGTAATAATGGATTTGTTTCTTCCTTTTTACACTTTTAATACTGATACTAGAGATTTTGTTACTGCAAAACATTCCTCAATATTAGATCTTCAAATTGTGTCTACACATGTATTTGAAATTATAAGTTTGTTTTTGAGTAAATTCGAATTGAAATGTTAAGTATCTCGTCAAGATTACGAATTAATTATAACTAAATAAAAAAAGTCTTGTTTATTGTGTAAGGGTGGCTCAGTGCAAGGACGCGCCATTCTCACTCGCAGCGCTCGGTTTCAAATCCCCACCTAAGTATTTCGTTTTTCTGTAAGAATTAAACACAATGCACTCAATTCAACGCATAAAGCTATTATTATTTAAACTTTTAAAATTAAAAAGTATAAAGTTTTGTAAGTCTGGCGCTGCGTTTGGTTGGAAGTTTTTATTGTGTTTGCTGAAGTGACAGTTGGTTAGAAGTTTCAATACTATATGACCTTTACTAACTCTAACAAAACCAATGAGCTGCTGTTGCCTTTCTTTTTCAAAAACCTAGATTTTATTGCATAATTTTGAATTAAATCGAGAGAATTTTCCGAAAATAACTTAACCTAATTATCTTGAAAACGAGAGCATTTTGGGATTTGATAGGCGAAATTTCAGAAGTAAAGAATTTGAAATATAATTATTATAATTTTATTGAACACTTACAAAGAATTCAAAAATGTATGTTTCAAAAACTTTACAATTTAGTTTAACTTACTGTATTTCTTGGAAATGTACTTGTAATTAACAGTTATGTTTCATTTATTTTAATAAGAATAGTTTATATAAGAAAATCTGTAAGTTATTATTCCTTTATTTTCATATTTTCGGTTCAAAATTTAAATTGTTACATTATATGAACTAGTAATTATCTTCTAGTACACAATTCAGTTTCGGAATCATTGTTTATTAAATTGTGTTTTAAGTACGAAGGTGCAGGAGGAATAAGGTAATTGATGAACTCTATCACTTTCATGGGATTGAATGCCTTATAATTATTTCATGCCCAATTTGGTATGTATATTATATATTAGGTTTGTTATTATTATTGGTATTATAATATTTTATTAAGCATTTTCATACCTTTTCAATTTGCAATAGCAATAGCAAACTAATGTATAATCTTGTAGATTAATTTTTCATAATTGAATTTAACTGCTACAAAGAAATTCTCTGTTGTTATTAATACGACGAAAGTAAAGATTACAATTGTTTTTTTGAAAATGTCCATATATCTGTTTACCTTATTTTCTCCATTAGGATATTGTTCTTAAAATTTACTTATACTGTTTCTTTACATTTCAGATATGACAACATTGCAAATTGAGGCTGAGAATACTCAGATGACTAATGATCTGTATCGTTTATTGAAGAAATACTCAGCCTTAAGGAACCTTATTAGAGAACTCAAGGTAAATTCAGAATAAAAATATTTACTGTCAACATCTCCCCTCAAAATAATTAATTGTTACATATAAAAGTCAAATTTTGTTAGCACTAACAGCAAACCAGTTGAAAAACAATGGCAATGATTATTGTAGGCAAAAAAGCATGTGTAGAAGTATTATGAGCAGAATTCTGAACTTTTCATACGTCTGTAAATTTGCAATAAATTATTTTTCTCAAAGTTTCTCAAAGTTAAAAAATTATATTTACTATGTTTTAATAATCTTAAGAAGTAAGAATGTGATTGTAATAATTGTAGCAATGCCAACATAATATTTGTGGTAATGATGATAATAATAATAATAATAATAATAATAATAATAATAATAATAATAAACCAATCATCACCGTGGAAGTTGTCCAAGCAGCTTTGAACAAGGCACATAACTGAAAGGCACCGGGCAGTGAGGAACTGCACAATTATTGGCTCAAAAAATGCACCAGCATTCCCCATCATGATATAGCTACTATAATTCGATATTTTCTTCACAATACAGAATATATGCCTTATTTACTCAGTGAAGGTAGAACTGCTACCTTCACTTGTTACCAAAGAATGGCAACACTAAAGGCCTCTCGAAGTACAGGCCTATAACCTGCCTTCTAACTTTCTATAAACTCATAACATTATGTGTTACACAACCTCTGCTGACACATATTGAGGAACAGAATATCTTAGCGAATTAACAGAAAGGATGCAGACCTAGATTTCAAAGATGCAAGGAGCAACTGATTTTAGACTGTATTTATGGGGCTTGAAAAACAAATTGTTTGAAAAACAAAACAACTTGTGTACATGCTACATAGATTATGCTAAATCATTCGACACCATGTTCTATCTTTGGCTCCTTGAATATTTGGATGAATACAAGGTCCATCCGTTTGTCCAAAACTTCCTGAAAACGGCAATGACCCGATGGAATACAAAACTGTATCTCTCTAATGATAAACTATCCGTCCATGCAAATATTATACAAATCCGCCACGGGATTTTCCAAGGTGACTATTTAAGCCCTTAACTTTTTCCAGTAAGCCTTAAATCATAGATTAATGAAATACATCCTTAGTCTATGCTTGAATTCTATATCTAATCTACTAAATGCATCTAATTATGGCACTGCTCTTAAAAAAGAGAACTCAACTCTTCTTCGTGTCTCACATCTGCTTTACATGGATGATCTGAAGCTCTAAGCATACACCGAAAATATATATAGCAACTAATTAGCGGGACGGAGAAATTCACTGACATTCCAAGTTATAAATTTGGAAAATGGTAATGAACCAAAGATTACCTTCATGGAACAACATGAAACTTAAAAATACTTGAGTTTCAAACTGTTACTCCAAACCAAACACACTGTCACTAAGAACATACTAACAACTGAAGTGTGTAAACGATTGCATGGACGTAAAAACCCATCTCTCTGCTAGAAATCTTGTGCAGGCCATCAATTCATATGTTATTATAGTGCTGAAAGACTCCTTTGGGATTATTAAACAGACCAAAATTGTCCTCGACAACCTCCAGAGAACACTTCGAATCACAGTGACACCGAAAATATTTCTATTTAAGTATTTAGCGATTTACCCTTCCAATATCACAAGGAGGGCGAGGTGTTGTAGATCTCATAAATCTACACCATTCTCAAATTGCAGCATTCAGAAGATACCTCCTGGAACATTGTGGGACACTTCAGCAAGCAGTGGGTGAAGTTGGCAATAACTTTAGTCCTCTGAACTTGAAAAACACTGATTCACATGTTCAACCAGTCATTGAAACCGAAGAGAAGGTAACCTCTTGGAAAGCGAAGGCATTGCACGGATGGTACACCCATGAGCTGAACAAACCAGAAGTCGACATTGTGTCGCACGCATGGCTCCAGCATAGGGATCTCTTCCCGGAGACAGAAGCATTCATGGTAGCTAAGGGGCGGATTTTAATGACATTTCGTTTTGTTAACGTTAGAACAATGCCTTTTAGTATAAATATTTATTTTATAACAAAAGGAAATGACCCATTTTTATACGCCATTTTTTGCATTTCTTGTCGATTTCGAATAATAAGTAATGTTTACTCTACTCCGTCATTTTTAATGAATTTTTTGCTATTTCCATCGATTTTAAAGTCATTTAAATAGTAAGTACTTAAAATAAATTTATGAGACGCAACAAATTTTTCTCCACAGAATTTCTGAGTAGCCTATTCAATTTCTTCGCTCAAAATTGTAATGACAGCCTTTGTGAGTATGCAATTTTAAGTTTCCTGTGATGACTATCTATTGTCGGTTCGGCCGATTTCGGGATAACTACATTTTCACAGGCCAAACCAAAAGTTTGAAACCGAGTTCATTTGAACAAATGGAGCAAGCCTCGATTACTTCAGTAACGTATCCAACAGATTGAGTTGTACATCCGAATTGGTTTTGATCACATTTTTACGTCAATTTTCTTCTTTTTCTTTCTTTCTTTTTAGGGCATTTTAAAAACATTTTATGAGCATTTCGTAGATCATTTTTGGGAAAGTTTTAGGTCATCAAAATCCGCCCCCTAATGATATCTATCCAGGACCAAGTGGTGCCACATTTTGAGAGATTCGACCATCTATTCTGACACAAGTACAAAATGTGAGGTCGGAAGCGAAACTATCCAACAGGTGGAAAGTTGACGAAGCGGCCTTGCACAGATGGAATATACGAGGCATGATGATGTGACGAAGCAGGTCCACCAGCTATTGGCCATGAAAATGGGTTTACTCACCTCTTCCTTGCCGTTTTATAAAAATGTTTCTAAGAACGTGCTTGAAAGTAATAAGCACACTCTCTACTGGCATCGCTCCATTATCACTGACAGAGAAATCGGCGGCAATAGACCTGATATAACATACATCGACAGAAACCATCAGTAGGCTTTCCTCATTGTCATTTCAATGCCCAAAACCCACAACATGTCGGCTAAGCATCAAGAGAAGATCCAAAAATATTCCGATCTCGCACATGAAGTCGCAGCTCAGGGAACTTCATCAAAATGACAACTGACCCAATAATATCAGCCACAGGAGTGATATCGAAAATGATCAACTTCAAGCACTAGAGTGTCTTCACTTGGACGACAGGAGTTTATACAATATGCAGAAGGTAGTTCTCTTGAATACATGCCGTATTGTTAGACGCCATCTGAATCTCCAATAAAGCAACCGCGCACCTGGTCATCACAACTATGAGTGGTTGACATTCCGACAAGTAAAAACGGTGAAGAATAAATGATAATAATATAGTATGAAACGGTGGTCACCAATAAAATAAATATAAACGTGGGGTTTTCCAAATTGGTCGTCTGAACCTTTATTGATACTGTCTGGCAATTAACCCTCTGTCAATACTTCTGGAACACTTAAAATAGGTTTCCAAATGAGTGTCACTGAAGGACTGCAGATAACCAACTTAGCCTACTACATGGATATAATCAAATTCCACTCGGGTAAGATGCGTGACTTGGACAAACATATAAATGCCATAGAAGAATTCTCCATACACAAACATTCAATTGGGAGTTCATAAATACAAAATTCAGAATAGCGAATGGTAACTCAACAGTGAACTCACATACGAGATTGTTAGTAAAGAGACCGTCACCGCTCCTAAAGGCAACGAATTATACAATATCTTGGTATACAACAGGGAGAAGTGTACATCAACTGAAGAGATGCTGAAAACTGAAATTGCCAACCAACTCAAGGCTCCCTTAACGCTCAAAACGTCACAGCTGACCACTAGGGGCGGCCCAATATCAATTCCACGATAGGCATTCTTAAATAGCTCAAAAGAAATAGAAAGATCGATAAAGGTGCAAATGACCGTTTGGATTGTCGCCATCCAAAAATGCGATACAGAGGATGACAATTCCGCGACACATGGGTGGGCGCCATTTTGTGAAGCTGGCAAAACCTGACCTCCATGTCAAACACAATAGCTTTGGAAAAAAACTTTGGAGAGAAAGTACATACTTTTCAACTTCATGAAGAGATTGTGCCGCAGATGGCAAACTATACGTCCCTCAAATAAACAAGAAATGCAAATTCAATATCTCTCTTTGTTCAAAGAGATTGATCTCTTGAAACATAAATCACTCCACTATGCATATCTGCTGCTGTTGCGAATTAAAATGTCGACGAAAGAAGGTCGGACGATTGGTTCATTATAGAATATTTGTTCCCTAAGATTGAAGGGTTCACAATAGTAATCCAAGACCACGTGATTCTAACAAAGAACTGCTTTAATTAATAACTTCAACAAGACCCAGAAGTATTTAGTGATGATTATTGTTATTGTTACTGATATTATGAAACAATTCACCCGATCATATCAAGTTGTAGTTATTTAGTTCCCTCAGACTATAAATTGAGACACAATCAATTAGACTGCAAACAAACACGAAATATGGATTATCTTGATAAGACGATGCATCATACTACCAGTAGGCCTATTATCCTCCTGTGCGTAAAAATGAAACCCATAAATTATATTGGGGCCACAGTATTTTTACCCAGAATACAATTCAATATAATATACCTGATTTTACCCTCTGGATGATGTTGCCTGATGTTTATAACTCACCAACCGGCCGATCGCTAAGCAAGTGGTCACCAAGAGTCATTTAATTGAAATTCTCAACAAAGACTGACCTCACAACATTGGGCAACAACAAAATACGAAAGCTTGTACAGAGCGGGTGCATCAAAGAATGTCGTCACTAAATACTAGTATTAATTTTTTATGAAATTAGTTTGACCTAAATATGTTATAGTTTTTATAATTTTACTAAAACATTCTTAAGAATAAAAAGTAACTTTGAGACCAAATACCAATAATTTGTTTGCGAAACGCAGTTAAACTATAAAATACAAAAATCTTAGTACTGTCCCTAATAATTGGGCCACATACAGTGAGGCCTAGAGAGAGAGTTGTCA